GTCTGTGACGAGAATAACAGTTGACGGATCCCACCCGGATCATCCCATGCAGCCAGCAGACGAGACGATAATCCCTGAAACGCGCGTAGTGTGCTTCAAAGTATTGTACTGTACAGTACGCATATCCGACCGACTGCTGCATGAGCCCAGCAGCAGGAAGGAGCAGCTTCTGTCCTTCAACTGAGGTTCGTTGGCGAGGCGAGGCGAGCTTTTCTTCGTCTCCTCTCCCTCCTCCTCCTCCTCCTCCCCCTCTTTGTCGTGCCTTTTGTTTCGTCTGTCGGCGGCCGCTTTATTGCCTCTGGTGCGGGTCATTAGTGCCTCCGACCTGACAAATGCCCATCTGCACCAGTATGTAGGAGAATATGGCGCACATGCAGCAGCAGGGAGGTGGATATGAGGATCGCTGGCTGGCTCGGGGAAATTGCGGCGAGAAAGGAAAGATGAGAAGGAAAAGAAAAAAGACCCTTTTTTCGTGCGTGTCTGTTTTTTCTTCTTTTTCTTCTTCTCTCGTCTCTGTCTCTTTCTTTCTTTCTTTCTTTCTTTCGTATTCAACTGTTTTAGTTTACGCGGTGCTGTATGGTAGGAGTCGGGCAGTATTGCCAGATTATTCTCTCTCTCTCTCTCGACCCACACCATGGTTACCTATCTTGTTGTTGTTGTTGTTGTTGTTGTACTGCTGCCATGTACAGTGCAGTTCTTGTGGACATCGTTCGTACGAGTGCTTGCTGGCACTCACGATCTTCCACGTCATTTTTAATGTGTCGTACGTGTGGCCGTGGTTTTCTTGTCTGGCGACGAGGTTTCCATTTGCATGCCTTATTGCTCGTCGTTTTGCACTTGCATATACAGTACAGTACAAGAGTGTTGTGGAGTACAGTAGTCTAGGCAGTGCTGTACTGTACCTACGTCGGTTCCGTTTATTTCCAACTATTCAGTACAGTACAGTACAGTATTCGTTTCCAGCATATAGGGCACATTCCTTTTTTTGGTCCTCACATCAAATTCAGTCCTTCCCTCAATGCCTTCTTGGTTTGGTTAAAGGGGCGGTAGTCCCCCCCCCCCTCCCCTTATCCCCCGTCATACAATAGTACAGTATATACTTGTTCAGTCGTGACTATACGGTCGTCATTATACACGCCGTCGCTCGTCGTCGTCATTTCCGCGGGAAGGCTTCTCCACTGCTGTACATTTTACTTGTTCCTTGTCGTGCTCAGTTTTACTCTGTAACCCCCCTCCCCCTTCCGCCAAGACCGGCTTTGCAAATGACTCGCGGATCTCTCCCCCCGCTGTTGCTGCTACAGTATGCCTAACCTTTTCCTTCTTCTTCTTCTTCTTCTTTCGCATTTTCTTCTGCACCGGCAACTTTTCCCATTTGCATTCCGAACGTGTTCCCGGTCGGATGACGACGACGACGACGACGAAGACGACGACTCCGTATCCCACGACACGAATGAACCTTTCCGCATCTCCTTGTATCATTTTGCTCCCCAACATTAACCCGGGAGGCTTGTATAGGCACTGTTGTTCGTTTTTGCTCCTTATTCTTGCAGAGGAAACGAAATGATGGGGAGATTCAAGAACACGTCCATCAGGACGAGGCTACCGCCGTTGCCCTGTCCTCTCTGTTCCCTCTTGTTTCTTCTCCGTCTTGTTCCTCCCTCAATTGCTGTAAACAAGTTTGTTTGTTTGTTTGTTTGTTGTTTTTTGGTTGAAGGTGAGCATTCCGACTGGATCTCGACTCCACTCGTCGAGTCGAGAATAACTGATGAATATGAAAGGAAGTGGAGTGGTAGTACAGTACAGTATATACTGTACAGTACACTGGACATGCTTGCCTCTCGTCTTATTCTTGCTGCAGAAGGCAATGGAAAACGAGGCACGCACAAAGGCAGGAAACGGGACCGGAAGGAATTCCCGGATTTTTTTTCTCGCGGTAGTACAGTGCGGTACAGTACTGCAGTAAGACGAAAACACACACACTCACATAGCATCGTGGTGGTGGTGAAGGCGGATATACGACGGCTGGCTGGCTGGCCAGCGGGGAAAACTTTTCGCGCGTCTCTCGGGACTGCGTTTATTCTCCCCGGAGGATCCTTCCGTCCGTGTTCCCTCATCTGATGCTTGCTTGCTTGGGTCAACGGAACGGAAACGGAGGTTTTTCCAGTTCTGGCCGGGGGGGCCCCCGTGCAACTTTCGACACACGGCCGATTCGACCCCGGGGACTCTTCTTCTTCCTCCTCCTCCTTCTTCTTCTTCTTTTTTAAACCGGGCACGAGTGATCCAGAAAAAAAGAGGGGTGTGGGTTTTTCCGTGCTTGCTATTTTCTTCAAGTCATCTCTCCGCGCTTTTGAAAGACTCTTGTAGTCCAAGCAGGGAAGTTTATCATCTTGCCCATGGACTCCTTCTCAAGGTTTTCTCTCGCACTTCCCTTCTTATTATTTGTACGAATGCAACAATGACGAATCAGTCGGGGTTTTTTTTTCTTCTTTTCAACAAGGAATGATGACAGAAAAGGCTCACCAGTTTTCGGATAACCTGAGAGACGGTCTACAGTATTGTACTATACAGTACATGTATCGCTATACACTATGTACTGTATAGCCATACTGTATAGAGAGATTTGAGTTGTTGTCGCCTGGTGCGTGCAGCATCGCAGGTTCACGACGAGTGTCGTCGGGGTTTGCAATAAGATGCAAGAGAAGTGGAGATAAATTAAAGTGGATATATACTGTAGATACTGTATGTACTACTGAAGGAGAAAGAGATTTTTGCCGTCGCTGCTGCTGCTGCTGCTGCTGCTGTAGGCTGGTGGTCAGCGTGGAGGGGATGAGGCTGAGACCGATGTCGTCCTTTCCCCCCTCCCCATCCCCCTTCTCTGGAAGCGGTGATGTGATATATTCAGCAGTGGTCGGGTTATTTAGCGTTGGCGACGCGCGGGGGAATATCCGCGGGCGGGCAACGTGATTTCCGGGAACCACGTTTGTGCCGCCATCACGAAGCATGGCCTGAGCAGCGGGATCGGGATGGAGGAGGAGGAGTAGTAGTGCTCTGTGCTCTGTGCACTGTGTGCACCGTGCACCACACCACACACGAACTATACGGCGGTGGGACAGCCCGAGGAGGAAAACTTGTGCTGGGGATCCATCCATCCACCCATGCACAAAGTGGCCGCGGGCGACGACGAGGATGAATGCTCCCCCCGTACTGATGCGGGATTTCGGGGACTAAAACCGCATTCTGTATAGTGTACACAGTACAGTACAATACTCTGTCTGCCTCTTCCCCTCAACTCTTGCTTATCCATTCCCTACTATCCTCTCTCTCTCTCTCTCTCCCTCCCTCCCTCTCACACTCATGCGATGGCTATACAGTATTAAATACGGGGCTTCAAAAAAAAAAAAAAAAAAAGACAGACAAAGGATGAGACTTGCTCGAATTTCATGCCGTGGTGTCGGAGCCGATGAAGGAAGGAATGAATGAATGAATGAATGAAAGGCAGCGACGAGTGACAACACAGCACAATTACGGGACGGCTGAGGGACTACAGTAGTTGGGATTCCCTCGTGTTGAAGTTGATTGAATCATGCAATTAATTGGCTTGGCCGTGTGTAGAAAAAAGCATGGAGTAGTAAACCTTGTGCAAAAAAGAGTTGGGAGCAAGGCAGGGATCGATCATCAGCACGAAGCCCATCAATTATTTTTTATTTTTCCTTTTGCGGGCGTTGCACACGGCTCCCGTCTACGGTTCGGTGCTGTACAGTACTACGCGGTACGGTACCTTTTCAAGCTGTTGGCAAATCATCTTCATGGTGTTGTATACTGTACACGGTACTAGGGTGTAGCCTGCCTGGCTTCGTTCCCAACTTGCTATAGTGGTCGAGGCGCAGGATTAACCCCGGGTAGGTTAATGGGCCGCTCGAGCCATTATTTTTCTTTTCACACCATTCTTTCCTCCTGATCACCTTCATGTTTGTGGGTGACAAGAACCTGCCTATGAAAAGTAAAAAAAAAAATAAAATAATGTTTTTGGTTTACAAATACAGAACCTCAAGTTTTTTTTTTGTTTGTTTTTGTTTGAACGTGTTGATGCGCCTTGGAGTGGTGATGCAATTGACGACAAATCCTGTCTTAGGTAGACCACCCTCACTTCCCCTCCCTCCCCCTCTTCAGAATCTGTGCCGCCATGCTGAGAGAAGCGCATTAATTAATTGATTGATTGATTGATTGCTTGCTTATTCTGGCACTGTTTTCCTTCTGCGGGATATCTGCCACCTTCCGTCGTCCCCCGCCACGGGTGTCAGATGGTCGGGGTCGAACGAGAACGATCAAGTCCCCGTCTACTTACAGCTAGTTGCTGCTTGGGCATTACAGTATTTATTGTTCCCGCTGTTGTTGCCTTCAACTGCTCCTGCTGTACCTTAGGAACACCCCATCCTTTCGCCGGCGAGTCGCTACGGGAACGAGGGAAGGTGGGATACGGGAATGGAATTTCACCGGTGTGCATATACTGTACTACTGTATTGTACCTACCTGAACGACATACGATATTCTCTAGCGTGACTCACGAGTCCGCAGTGATTCGAACGACCGCTGTTCCTCAGACTCCGGATCTACCAGCCGTGTCGTGTCGTGTCGCGTCGAAAGCACTTTAGCCGCCGTCGTTGAGCACTGCTCCCTCCCTCCCTTGCCAAGTACAGTACCTGCCTGTACTGTCTGTAGTATGGCACCAGTGCATTACTCATTGTTGTGACGGCGTGCGTGTGCATGCAGGAACGAACTGAACTTTTCTCTCTCTCTCTTTTTTTGGGGGAGGGGGGTCTCTCTCCTCATGCGGTTATTTGCTGGTCGGGGGGCTTCGTGTTTCTGCGTCATGAGGGTAGGGTAGGCAACAAGAATAATAATAATATTAACGTTAAATTATGTTCAGAGGGACTCGTCGGTCGGTCGTTGTCAGCGTTATTTGTGTGTGCAGCAGGTAGGTCCTGCTTGCTTGAAAGAACATGTGTTCTGATCGGCCATCAAGCGTCGTGACAGACACTCTACGTCATACGGGCACGACCAACGTCGTGGCAGCAACTCGCGTCAGAGACTGCCGACGAGTCCAGCACCGAGATGAAATCTCGGTGCTGGTCGTCGAAGGAATGCGGTTCTCATCATTCCCTTGCCGACACGAGGGTCATTATTCATTATTCCTCGTCCGTCTCCTTCGCGTCACTCGTTTTGGAACAGCACACGGCGGCACGCACGCGAAGTTCTTCGTACTGTATAATGTATGTGGCATCTTCTTCTTTTTTCTCGTTCGTTTCATCTTCTCTTCTCTACTGTACAGTACAGTAAAGTACTGTACTGCATAATTAATCAGCCGCGGAGGCCCGTCGTCCGGCTTATACCTTCTTCTTCATTCTTTCAATGTCACATGATGAGGGGTGAAAAACTCTTTTCTGAAATTAATTCGGAACTTTATTGTTCTCCGCCAAAATTGGGTATAGACAAGTCTTCTAATGCCACTGTGTACAACACCAATTACCTCTATACACTTTCCTATATACTGTACTGTACAAGATCTTATTGGTCTTGTGCGAAATCGGCTTTTTACGTGAGCACATTATTCTCATCCGATTCATTTCAATTCATCATGATTCGTATCATGTGTACATTGTCGACAATACTATTTGCATCTCGAAACATTTTGCAAGCCAAGTGTGTCTGAATAGAGTTGGAGGGGTTTTTTCTTCTTCTGTGACTGATGGGTCCACTTGGAAAGTCTCGTCGATTTTTTGTGCCCTTCAGAGTTCCCACTTGATACAGTACAAGGGCTTGAAACATCCCAGTCTTCCTGTGGGAAGGTTGAACAAACAGACGAGACAAAAGCTTTGATTAATCTTTTGATTTTGGACTTGACCATGCAGCCGTGTCATTCATATACAGTACTGTTCTGTACTGGCGGGCACCGTCCCGCAATTCTGTGTGCCATGATCGTTTATTTTTTATTTTTTTTTATGAACGAACGAATGATGCTTCACTGTGGGCATCATGTGTCTCTTTTTGTGTATCCTTATTATTGTCCCTCCTCCTCCTCCTCCTCCTCGTCCTCACTCATCTGGGTTTGTTTGTTTGTTTGTGTGTGTGTGTTGACAGCGGCAGGTGAAGATTGCAGAATCCCGACAGAGTGGCATGGGTCCTGGTTCCACAAGGACTTCCCGCAGCCCTTCAGCCTCAACGCGTCCAACTTTGGCCCGTTTCCGTGCGTGGAGTCGCAAGGAGACCGTTTCGTCGTCTTTGAAAAGTGAGTCATTTTTCTATATACTGTACCTTACTGTACTGTACAGTACAATGCAGTTACGTAGCGGTGCACTTCATGCTACAGTACTACAGTATACGTATGCTACTGTGCTGGCATACTCTTCGTAATGTACTACGCGATGAGGGTGATATGGACACACAGAAGAAGAAAAAAAAGGTACGGAGGAGATGTGGGAATGGGTGGGGGGGAGAATGAGGCTTCTTCCAGCGTTTACTCGTGTACTTCATTGTACGTACGTCAGTCATGGTGAACTCATGCAACATGTTTTTTATTATTTTTTTATTTTATTTGTTTTTTTTTTAAACCGTATTTTCGGCCTTTTTGTTACGCTGGGTATACTGCTGTACCAGTGTACTGCGAATGCACGTGCTGGTCGCATTCACTGTAATACAGTAAAGTACAGTATAGTGCAGTGCAGTGTAGTGACACTGCGGTCCGTCTTATTTGCACTCGCTGCATGCACGCCAAATCATCACTTCCCCGCTCAGCTCCTAGGAAGCATTGTTTTCCTTCTGAATGTTTGTCTGATGGATGATGATGATGATGATGATGATTGCGGATGTATACTGTACACTTGTACAGTACAGTACAGTAGATGAGTAGAGTGCACGGTGCGACGAGTACGGGTACGGCGGGTTTCCTTGACACGGGATTTGGTTGGGAAATGTTTCCGTCTCTCACACCAATTGTTGTCATCTTCTTGCGCCAACAGTAGAATGATGAGAGTAGAGTATTAGTACTGTACAGTACATTCTATGTAGCAAGGAATTAGTCTGCAGGACATATTCGTCACAGTACTGCAATAATATGCAGTGGCCGTGCACGCTGGCATGTCATGGCCATCTTCTGCTGGATCTAGTACAGTAGCATGTACTGTACTGTACATCAGTGAGGTGATTGCAATACGGTACAGTCAATGATGGTTCAATTGCACAAGCATTGGTATCCGGATGAGGGAGTTTTCCTCCCCTGTCATCTCTGCTGCTGCTTTGTTGTTGTTGTTGTTGTTTTGTTTAGCAGCACTGCATGTCAAGTTGTCGTCTGATACTGTATATCCACAACATTGTGCTGGGGAAGTTAGTTCGAACAATATACTGTACAGTACAGCGGACAGAAACGTGCTGAATTATTTCTAGTACGGGCTAGATCGAAACAACACCAACACCAACAACAACAACAACAACAACAAAAATAATGTCGCGGTTACGAGGGGAGACAGACGAAGAAGAAGAAGGAAGGAAAGAAGGAAAGAAAAAGAAAAACTATGGGAAATTCTGCACCCGATCGCGTCGCGTGTCAGTGGACACTTTGCCGTCGACCAGCACGTCGTGTAAAACGCTGCTGGTGTGAGGCTCGAACCATCAGGGGCCGAGGCTTGCAATACTGTACCATCATCAGTGCTTGACCTCACACGTACTCATGAGCAGACTGCATGGGACAGGATGCACGCACAGTGCAGTATTGTAGTACACTACAGCACAGTACTTATTTCGTCCTGTCGTCTCTACCTTGTTGTACTGTATACCGTACATTCATACCCTTTTTCTTTCATAATGATCCATGAGCAATGCCTGAACTTTGAAAAAAAGAAAAGAAAACCAGGCCTGGAATCTGCAAGTTTTGGAGGGGGGCGGGAAGGAATGTAGAGTGCTGTACCCTGAGTTTCTTACATTTTATGGGGTTTTTTTTGTAAAGCCCGCGGAGGAGCAAGCAAGGATCCGTGCAAAGAAAGATGTAGGCACTGACTGACTGACTGATCCAATCCATCGATTGGTTTCTCTTTTCTACAAACACCACGTGTCTCGATGATGAGAACATGAAGCGTGAAAGGACGGCGGAGATGCATGCGTGTCTGTCTGTCTGTCTGTCTGTCCATCAATTGGTGCTGGTGGTGTTGTTACTACTGGTACGTTCGTGTACTTGTAAATCTCTTTGTCCCTGATGGAGAATGAGAGAGAGAGAGTAAACTAGACATTGACTGTTTCCTTTTTGTTTCTTGTTTTTTCCTTTCTTACACGACTGATGTGTATTCATCAGGGGCTCATTTCGTCGAGCAACATCAATTGCCATGCCGTGTGTGTGTATGTATGGTTTTTTTTTTCATTTTGTTGATACGCTTCCATCCTGCTTTTCTCTGCCCCCATTATCAACAAGGCTTCACTATAATCCTGTCTAGCACTATCGATTCAGTCGAGTGCTGGACTGTACTGCACAGCAACAGGGACGAGAGAGTACTACTGTATATCGTGTTTGAACTTATTGTCACATTCCCTACCAAGTAGAGTATTGTACTGTACAGTACAATACAGTACTTTAGTTGTCCGGGGAACGGATTCATGTCCAGTTTTGAATTTACAGTGCAGGGATGCTGCCCTCAGCACCAACACTGACTGCACTATTGACGAAGCAAATTATGAAGCATTTTTCTGTATACCGTATGCAGTACTGTATTCATTTTATTTTTGGTCTCACGGCGACTCTGAATGTCGATGGTGGTGGTGGGTGTTACTGGTCATGGAGACGGATTGCTGTATTCCACCGGGGGGATTAGGTTTAGTGTTGTTTGGTGCTGTATGAAGATCCAGCGAGAGAAGTCAGTTGAGGACAACCGGCGCAACTACTGTAATACGGCTCAGACCGAAATGGTTGGAATGGCCATATACTGTGTGTCGTGAAACCCATCAGGCATACATTCATTTCCCTTCTCCCCTACACTTTTTTTTTTGTTTTATCATTATTCCTGTCTGGCATCCATTTTCTAGTGGTGGTGGTGGTGGTGGTCAATTGGGTGTCGGTAGTTACTTGTTACTCGATGGAGTTCCGATTGTGGTTCCCCTTCTTTTCACCTGCGAAAAGCAGTTTGGCGAGTGATATGGAGCAGGCAAAAGGTGTGTTCAATCACAGCCATGCATGCAATTCCCGTTTGCGTGCTGCCGCCGACTGGCTAATTTCCGTGTATGGGAATGGGTTCAGCGATTCGTTACCTGTTCCCGACCAATTCTTTCCTGCTTGCCCCCCATTTGTAATTTTTCCTTCCTTCCTTCCTTGCTACCTTCCTTCTTTCCGACTATATAACAACTGCCTGTTTGCTGTGAGCACTGTTTGTTTACTACTGTATTCCTTTTCCTCGTTCCCCCAACCTGCACCGAACCTTCTCTCTCCCCCAATCTCTCTCTCTTGCTTGCTCAGTTCATTCCACCAGCACTGATGCTCGCCCGACGAGTTATTATTGAACGCAGCAGCAGCAGGGGCAGAGGTATTAATAAAAAGAGACATTGGGGTTAACGAGATCCTCCTGGTTTGGGGTTTATTTTGTGGCGTGCTTGTCTTTCTTTTGCTTTCCGCTGTGCTTTTGCTTTTGCTTCGCAAAGACGAGGCACGGAAAGAAATGACGACCGATCGCAACCCACGCTTTGTTCTGAATAAAAATAAAGTAGAAAATGAGAAGAAAAAAAACATTGAGATATTACGAATGCGTTTTTTGTTGTTGTTGTAGATCGAAGCACTCACTGCAGTCGTGATCATTTCCTCGTCTGCCGCTTTAGAGGAGATACTGGAGCAACGTACTGTACTGTACTGTACTGTGCTGGTTATGAGAAACGTGCGAGTCGTGTTCCCACTCCCTTCTGCTTTGCCCTCCTCTCATCATGGCCACGAGAGTGTGCATCAGTGTTGTCAATTAATTGACTCCTGCCACGTGCCGCCAAATGAATATCGACATACGTAGACGTAAACAACGAGGGAGGGAAGGAGGGAGGGAGGTAGGGAGACAACGAGGAAGAAAGAAAGAAAGAAGGAAAAGGTTCGTGCACAACGCGTGCGACGACTCTTTCCCTGTTCCATCCATCCTCATGTATCGGCGGCCTGTATATGCGCGGGAGCTGCGCATGGAGATGGAGTTTGATGGGGGCAATCAGCGTTTGCATCAACTTGACATTACATGGTGCAGAACCTGTTGTACCCCTGGGATCCAATCTACCTTTTTTGTACAGTGCAATACTTTGACATGTACAGTACATGCTGCCTAGAACTGTACAGTTCACAATGCGGTAAAAGCACAGGCCATGAGCCCATTCCCCGCGGTTTCGGGATCAACTTGTTTTTACTTGAAGCCTGGTCTGCTCTGGAACCATTGACATTCCTCCTTTCGCGTTTTTCATGTTTATGAGCTTTGAATGCAATGGCAACAATAAGAAAAGAAAAAAGCTCAACATTTCTTTTTTTCCCCCCAAAGCGTGAAACGCATTGTGGATTGTCCTCCTTGAATTGTGCAGATGAAATATTGTACTGTACTGTACTTGTGAAACTTTGAAATTTCACCCAACAGGAGCACATATCAACTTGAAAAATTGTTTTCTTTATGGGCTGTACAGCATTATCATCAAGTTTCTTTTTTTGTATTCAAAATTTTTTTTTTCTAGACTCACTTAGAATACTAGAAGAAGCATCCTAAAATTTGAAATTCCGTGGGGTGTGTGCGTTTTTTTTTGTGAATGTTATGTAGAAATTGGAAGGCATTGTTGACAGGAGCGAGAAGGCAATCTTCGACACCTGTTGTTCTTTTTTTTTTCGATCCACATGCAATACCGCTAGTAGTAGTGTTGTAACGCAAGCAGTACTGTATTTTGGGAGATGAGCAAAATAAGACATAAATTTACTAGGCGATCTGCTGGAATTCCGTTGATGCATTCAGGAGAATTGGTCGGGACGTGTTGCGGAGAAGAAATTCTCCTCCTTCTTCATTTCTGTGCTTCTTCGGTTCTTCTCGAGGCGTGTTCGTGAGACGGGATCTGAAGGGTTTTTCTGGCTGGCGGCGGCGCATTCTCGAAATACCCTCACGCGCACATTTTCGCGAGAAAAGCGTGCGTGATTGCTGCAGTATGATGCACCAACGAGAAAGACGATGCACAACTCCATGATGTGCATGTGTGCAGTAAAATACAATACTGTACTGCATACTGTACAGTACTTTGATATGCTCCGTGT